CAGTGACTGCAGGCACGAGATACAGAGGCGGGTCGCAGGCTCCAGTGACCTCAAACGGCCAGCATCGTCTGCTCATGCTTTATAATGCTGTAAAGCTGATGTGCCCTTTGATAGCTACGGAACTGCAAGCACTGCAATGTGTGAAAGATGTAAGAAATAGCAAAAAAGGAAAAAAGAGCACTATTTTAGAATTGAAATTTAGCTTGAAATAATTCAGAATTGAATTAATTCAAAATCTTGATTTCGACCTTCATTTATGTCTTTGAAAAACATATTCCGCATTAATTCTCTTAAACACAAGATTAGTGGCAGCTGTGGCAAACAGACTGAAAATGTTTAAGAAAAAAAAAAAAAACACAAAAAACTTTGATTACAATAAGGGCCAGAATGTAAATAAAGTTATAATAATGCCCATATAATTTTGAAGTTAACACAACAAAAATTCCAGATATATTTACTGATTGAAGTACACACACACACACACACACACACACACACACGAATATAGCTATGTATCCCTTCATATTAGTTTAAGGTATATCTACTTGCTCATTATAAACAGTAACATAACATGGTAAGAAATAACTAATACCATCCTATTGGTTGGGTGAGAATTCAAGTCCAGTACCTATCGACATATACACACAAAATACATCCCAAGACATGAGGCCAGTCTGAACCAACTGGGTCAGTCACTGCAGGCGCTGCCACAGGAGGCAAGAACCTGCCTTTTCCAGAAACTTGATGACAACTGATGGCCTCACTGTGACAAACCAATATCCTCGTTTCACAAATAAAGGAAATGGCGTTTAAAGACGTTAGACCAGTGACTGGTGCTATTTCTAATACGAAACCAATTTGTGACCCCACGTCCGCTGACCACACAAGACTGAGGACCTGAACAACGGGGACTGCTGAAGACATCGGAGCATTCTGAAAGTGGAAATGACTCAAAAGCTATGATGAGTTACTTTTCACAACACAGGTTTAAAAACAGGCAATGAAAACACTTTAAAGGAAGAACATTCTTTCTTGGGCCTGCCGGTTACCAGACTCAGTACTGAAAAGACATGGTAGCACAAAGCATACCATTTTGTGAGCTTATCTGATGAAGAGACAAAGTTGGCTGAATTCCTCCGGTGTGAGAAAACACAGGAAGATAAACCAACTTACTGGGAAAATAGGACATCACTGACATGTCATGGCAAATCATCTTAAACAGGTCAGGTATTATTACAAAAGGCAACATGTTTCTATTCTTTTGTTTAAACATACCATGAAGCAGTAAGTTAAATGGAAAATAATGCACATTCTTTTTTCTGGTGATTATTCTTTCAGTCTTTTTCTAAACTACATTCTCAAATGCGATAGGTTAAAAAGCATTAAATGCTCAACCAGAAAAAAAAATGATACACTGAAAAAATATGAAAAAAATTCTATATAATACAGGTTGGTTACAAAGGACATTTAGAAGCTATTGCTTTGCTAAGCTTTCCATCCAAGAATGCGGCCTTAAAAATCAAGGCGAGCCCGGCCGGTGTGGCTCAGTGGTTGAGCATCAACCTATGAACCAGGAGGTCACAGTTCAACTCCCGGCAGGAATGTGCCTGGGTTGCAGGCTCAATCCCCAGTAGGGGACGTGCAGGAGACAGCCCATCAATGATTCTTGCTTATCACTGATGCTTCTTTCTCTCCCTCTCTGAAATCAATAAAAACATATTAAAAAAAGAAAGAAATCAAGATGAGACCAAGAGTGATGTACCACTCTTAGAAGGCAAAAGTACCACTGGACAGAGAGGAAAAACTTCCTGAGCTGCATCCTTTCGCTTACAGAAATGAAACTTTCAGAAACCAGAACTGATAACACAGCAATCACATTTGCACACAAAGGCAAAAAACTCAGGAACCTTTGCAGCTTAATATTTGGCAAATATTCTGAACTTCCTAAAGGCCTGTCAATTACCATGTATTTTATTGGCAACAGCACTGACTTTTCCTATACTGAGTCCACGTATTTAAGTAAAGTAGCTGAACAAGGAACTGCCAGTGTTGACAGGCAGGCAAGTCTACCAACACTGTGTCTTGGGAAGCTGGGGTATGGAACTGAAAGCCATTATTTCTAAAATTCTCTAGTTAAAAGGCAATCTTTTTTGGGGGGCCGAGGCAAGTTCTAGACCTTGTGTTCTTTACTAAACCTCAAAATAAGTTGATAGTACTCCTGCACTTGAAAATGTTATCATTTTTAAAAATGAAAATTAAATCTGAAAATTAAAAATTCTCGTGTACACGACTCAACAAAGAATAGGGCCTCTCTTTAATCCTTTAAAATTGGCTTCTCAAAATTAAATTAGATAAGATGGGGGGACATTTAAGTCACTGGAATCATCACATTTGCTTCAGTGTAGGAAATACACACTTTGGAGAGTGCTTAGGGCAGTCAGAATGTGTCCCGGGCACTTTATCAGTAACACAGAGCCACTACGATGGATAGGATTCAATGTAAGGTATTTTTGGAATGGTCAAAAATACAGCTTGTCTGTATAAAATAAACTACCCAAATGAGCTACTTCCTATCCTTTGTTTTTAAAAATTAAAATCCCATATTTCTCCCTCTCAAACATTCTTTTAAAAGCCAAATTTTAAGAGCTAGCTTTAAAACTACATTAATACAGTAGCCACTACCCGAATGTGGCTACTGAGAATTGGAAACATAGTGTTAAAATACAAACTGGTTTTGAATACCAAATGTAAAAGACCAAAATGTAAAATATCTAAGTGACTTTGATTAGATGTTGAAATGATAGCATGTCAGATATAAATTGAAATATATAATGAAAAGGAATTTCACCTGTTTCTTTTTACTTTAAATGTGCCTACTTGGAAATGTAAAATTTCATGTGCCTCACATTTTATTTCTATTAACGCTGTTCAAGAACACAAAACGTTGAGGCATTATATTGAATGGGATTATAACTAAATCTGTTGACCATTGTATTCTCACATAGAATTCTTTGAGGTCATAATACAAAAGTAGAATCTTGGCAGCCTTCATCACAATTCTGTATTCTTATTATTCCAATAATTCTAGATTACACAGGAGAAAAGCCATGTGCAGAGTGGTGAGATGGCACTCCCCTTTACATATGTGTTAGTAAGTACCTGAAGTTCTTGAGGACAGATAGTAGAAATCATAGTTCCAAATTAAACAAAGTATTGATCAAACTAACTTATAGAGACTTTGATCATTCCATTTCTTTCCACCTAAGCCTATGGCTGCTAATGTACCATTTGCCACAGAAATATAATTTGAATTCAGGGTCTTTTAAAATATTCAGAATTAAAACTTTTTGTACCAACGCCCAAATCACAAACTTTTAAAATAAATTAAATAGGCGGCTTTTGGCTGAAATATCTCGTCATTACAATGGAAACATGAAAGAAGAAACGTTTGGCCATAGGTTTTCAAAATGTCAACTGATCGACATGAATCCAAAGGTCTCAATATTCAAAATTCTGCAAGATTATGTTGACATATTTTCTCTACATATTCCCTATTACTCCCATGTTAATGTCTTTAAATAAGAGAAAACCAAATTGTAAGTATTTGAGCACAGATTCTGAAAACTGGAAGCACCTCTTGATAGTCTAGTGAAAACTGTTCTCCATGGAGCAAAACTGTGTTCTGTGGAAACATCGCGATACTTCTCCGTAATGTAAACAGCTGTAAGTTTTCAGAGCACATCCAGACTTCCTGGTAACTTAAGGAGGCGACTAGTTTCCCCAAGCCTCTCTACTTCACAGGAACCAAGAGCAATAGTCTCTAACAAATGTTACTGCCAAAGTAAAAATCTGAGAAGGTTTACAGCATTATAAAAACGATTCAAAACAGAGAACAAATTCTAAGGCAAAGGGATTTACAGTAAATTTAGGAATTATAATTCTTTTATTACCAGGATGTACAAAACACTGATCCTTTTATGATTCTGCAGTACGGCCTCTGAATTCCAGTTTCAAAAAAACTCTGACTTCTATAACATCAATTTAGAATAAATGTGATTTTGTTGCTGTTCATAATAGAATTAAGTCTTTAGCTTTGATGGTTCAGATCTAATTAGACAGAAAGGACTGCGTCTGGGCCTGAGATAAATGTGGTGCAGAAAGAACTCCCCAACGCATGCAAACCATACTTCATTAGAATAGTCTTTAGGACCTCATCATAGGACTTTCAAATAAATAATTAAGCTTCCAATTATAAAATTCACTACTGTAAATGTATTGATTAACTAACAAAATATAGAAAGTGCTATGTCACCAAATATGTGCATTTTCTAGGATTCATTTAAAATTCAGGCTAATATTTCAATTCAATTATGGCATTTAAAAAAGGTTGTACTTCTTTTAAAAAGTTACTTCTGGGCAAAGATTACATAAACATGTTTTTTTTGGGGGGGTTATTTTAGGAAAACAACAATGAATAATTAGTATTGCCTTGACATTTCTAAAATCACATAAAAATCATCATCTTTGATTGCCATTTCAATTAATTTTGATACAGGGTATGTTACTGTCTGCTTACTAATACCCAAAACATAGAACAGACTTGTAACAAATATTCAGAATTAATTGTTTTTATGAGCTAAACATTTCTGAGCCTTTTAAGATTTGTTTGAGCATACAGTACTGCAATGTTGGCTACATAAAATAAATAGAAAATCTTTTTGAGAGAAAGCTCAGTAATCAGAGGCTGTACTGCATTAAAGGATTTAACACTGGCTATATACAAAAGGGAAAGCATTTCAATTAGAAATACTTCACCTGCTACCGAGTTCTTGCTGTTACTATGGCAACATTTAGCAGCTTACCATTTTGACATTTAAAAAGCAACAGGAATAGTGCTAGTCTTTTATCCTGCGTTTCCAGTGACAAATAATGCAGCAATTATGCCTCTGGTTTTCAGTTCCTCTTGGATGACATTTATTATCAGAGATAAACCTGAAGCCTTAGCTGAAATTTGGCAGCCCGAGAAGTGCACCGACTGCTCCAAAGTATCCCTGTAAAATTTAGAACAATCATTAATGTAGTGCAGCTCTTAAATCAGCATGCAGTATTAACCAGTGTTAAGAACACATTTACATTATATCGATTTAAGAACATCTATTCAGTAATCTACCAATTTGTTTTGTCAGCTATCAAAGTATTTTAAACTGTATTCTCACTATATACACCTCTTAAATACCTATTTTTCAAGTGTGGTTTTAAAAAATGTCTTTTTATTGATTTCACAGAGAGGAAGAGAAAGGGAGAAAGAAACATCAATCATGAGAGAGAAACATTGGTCCACTGCCTCCCACATGCCCCCTACTGGGGATCAGGCCTGCAAATCAAACAGTAACCTGGTTCATGGGTTGATGGTCAACCACTGAGCCACACTAGCAAAGCAAAGTGTGGCTTTAGACACTAAAATTTCTAAGGCTATTATTGCAAATTCTGTGCCCCTCCCCTTTTCCTCAGTTAACTTCCCTCGGCTAAGCCTGCCACTCTCAGTGACTCCACCCCACACAGAGCAACTCAGCATTTCCCATTCTGATCTTTGCAGTGAGAACAGTGACAATGAAATATGCATGCTTTTAAGGAAACACTCTACTAGGAAAAACTTTTAAGGAAAAACTTTTGTAGCCGCTGACTGACCAGAAACAAAATAATTTGAGGTAAATTTACTTAATCTGAAACATTACGTAAACTGATATGCTTAGGTCAAAATTTAGCTGGCTGTAGTAAACAAATATGAAAAGAATAAGCTCCAAAATGTTAACAGTGGTTACCTTTGGCAGTGAGGGTGAGATTGTGGTGGGAAGATTAAAGAGAATTTTCATTGCTGAATTATATAGTTTTGTATTGTTCACTTGTTACCTCCGGAGAGAAAGTAAGATCCACTAAGTGTACAAGTGGCCCCATATTTAAGGAGCTGATACTGCTCTCTCAGAACTGTGAAGTCTCAACTTACTGGGGTGCCTGCCAGGTTACAGTAACCCCGACTCCACCCCTCCCCCCAATTCAAACTGAAGTGAGGAATCAATATACAATTTAGGTAAAAGTCATAGTTTTGTAGCCTAAAGGAGCCTGCATATAAAAGCATACTATTAAAATTCACAAACGCTATTTTGCTGTCATACCTCATGCTCTAGAAACAATGCTTTCAGTTGTCCTTTCGACCAGTAATCCAGTGCATACGCCAGAAGTTTCATCGAGAGTGTATTGACTCGTAAAAAGTTTCCCACAAAGACAACTCTGTTTATTTTCTAGAGGAAAAGAACAAAGAAGATGACGTCAAGAAAGAATTATAAATAGGTTTCATAATATCTCTACTTAAAAAAAATGTAAATAACTACCATTTATTAGTTCCTGCTACATTCCTGGTATATACCTCCATATCCTGTATGTTTAAAAAAAAAAAACGACTTTTGGACATGACTACACATTTGTCCAAACCCTTGGAACGTACAGCCAGCATGAATCCCAGTGTAGACTATGGACTTTGGGACGATGGTGTGTCCGTGTAGGTTCATGGGCTGTGATGAGTGAGTCAGAGCTGCTGGATGGACGCTAGGAGGTGGAACAGGCTTGGGGTCAGCAGATTATGAGAACTCTCGTACTTTCCACTCGTTTTAGCTGTGAACCTACAGCTGCTCTAAAAAATAAAGTCTATTTTAAAAGAAAGTTCTGGAAAAGATGCTACTTAAATGATTATAGATGAGACATGCTTATGAAAATGGCCAAGAAATAGTCCATTTAAATATGGTAATTTGGAGAAATGTTGTTGTTGAGATTAAGAGAGGCCAACAAAGGAAGAGTATTTTAAATGTGTTTAGGATTAAAAGAAGCTGTAAACCTGGCCAGGATGTTGTAATGTATGCTCAGCAATGACACACAACCTATGGACTCTATACAGAGCTGGAGAGCAGCACTGCCTGCGTATGGCATGCACCCCGACTCTAGGCTTCCAGCCTAACCAACCAGGTCATTCTGCTAAGATCCCACTCACGGATTTGGTTCCTTAGGTAGCTGTACGGCTAGGAGACCTTCGATGGAGGAATTAGTGTTCTCCAGAATATGTACGTCCAGAAATCCTATTTCTACTCTCTTACTGATACACTGACTTTTTGAGTATACATGTTTGAATACCGAATTTGCCAGTGTAAACTCTAGCCAGAATTATTAAGACAATTGGCCAGTGAAAATCCAGACATAGGGCTAGAAAAAAAAGATCTCAAAAGTGGAAGAGCCCCAAACTGAGGTTAAAATGCCTACTAGTGACTCCCCACAACCAATTTAATTACCCTATTATTAAAAAAACTAAAGAAATAAAATTCTGGATTTAAATAATTCAGAGGATTAATTTGGGGTTTGGCACAGCTGTTTTCTCTGTTGGAGCCTCTTCCTCCCCAACATATCCACATGTTTGATTCTTTTGCTTCCTTCAAATCTTTGTGCAAATGTCACATTTTCAATAAAGCCTCCTTCAAAGATCCAATTACACTGCAATCTGTCCATCCAATTACATAGCAATCTGTCCTCTGTCAGGCTCTGGTCTATTCTCAAATTCTCTTTGTCCTGTTTGATTTTCTCATTTTGAAAAACAGCATTTGTCACCTAACACAAACTAAATATTTATTTACTGTATCACTAGAATAGATGTAAGCTCCACTCTGTACATATTTATCCCATGAATAAGTGACTGAATAAAAGGTTCCTTCACAAAGCAAAGTCTCCATTCAGTTAAAAGTACTTGATATTTACAAAAATTAAATGGAGCCCGGCCGGTTTGGCTCAATGGTTGAGCATGACCCACACACCAAGAGGTTGCTGGTTTGATTCTGGGTCAGGGCTCCTGCCTGGGTTTTGAGCTTGATCCCCAGTAGGGGGTATGAGGGAGGCAGCAAATGGATATTTCTCTCTATACCTCTCCTTTCCTCTCTCTCTGAAAAAAAAAAAAAAAAAATCGATTAAGAAACATAAAGTTAAATGGACAAATATATCTACCACATGAAGAAAGAATTGTATATGTAGTCTCCTTCAAAGAAAAAGAACCCAAATATGAGCTAAGTGTAGCTAGCAGTAAATGCTTTCTGTAAGTATCCGGAGAATGAGTCTCAATGCCTTCATAGCCCTGTACAATGCTGCTTGATCCATATGCAACAAGGCAGCACTGTAAAGAAGCCGAGGGCAGTAAGAAAACTTCCAAGCACCTCACCAACCAAATGCAACATTAACAGGAAAAAGACAACACAAACACACACGCAAACACACTGCCTTTTTCTCTTTCATCTTGAAGAGATTTAGGTCACGCACAGTCATGCCCTGCCTACTGACCTTTTAGGAACACATATGATGATGGTCCCAAAGGATTATAATGGAGCTGAAAATTTCTATTGCCTGGTGATGTCATGCTTCCTTCACTAATGTCACAGCCGTCCTGATGTTATAGCACAACATGTTACTCAAATGTGTGTGATGCTGGTGTAAGTAAACCTACGGCACTGCCAGTCGTATAAAAGTACAGAACAATTCTGTACCGTGTATGACTTAACAACGATCAGGTCTGTTACTGGCTTATATACTATTCTATACTATACTACAAACTTTTACTGTAATTCTAGAGTGTTCTCTTTCCAAAAAGAAGGCAGTTTGCTATAAAACAGTACGCCCTTTTACGGCAGCAGCCGCCGCCTCATAGATTCACGGGTTTCGTGGTCGCATCATGTGCTTGATTTAATCTCATGTTGTTTGGTACAAGCATCATGCTTTCAGGCTTGTAGCCTCGGAGCAATAGCTCTGCCATACAGCCTCCGTGTGCGTGGGCTGCGCCATCTACATCTGGGCTTGTGACAAATGTACTCTATCATGTTCACACAATAATGAATCGCTCGATGACTCATTTCTCAGAATGTACCTGCCATTAAGCAGTACGTGACTGTATTTCCAAGGTGAAATGTAATTATCTATTTGTGCTATTTCTGATTCGAATTACCTGCTATTTTCTTAAAGGTCATGTAACAACTGAGCACATAACATACATAATGAGTCTTGGGTGTTAACATCTATCCATAATGCGTCTTGGGGTTTAATGGATTAGGTCTCTATCCTATAGGTCTCTGTAAGAACATGAAGAAGCCCTGCTATCCTATATAATAAAGAGCTAATATGCAAATGGTCATCACACCCTCACCCTGTAATGGCTCAGACATTCAGCACTGGGGGGAGAGGAATGGGGACCAGCCAGGCACAAAAGAACTCACAAGAGAAATGGGGACCAGCTAGGCATAATTGAGCTTGCAATAGAGGAATGGGGACCAGTCAGGCTGCGGCCTGGGAGAGGGACAAGCTGCCCACCCTGTGGTCCCGGGTGCTGGTGGCTGGCTCAGGCGAAGCCAGCCCAGGTCCCGGTGCCTGCAGCCAGCCAGAGAGAGGGAAGCCCGGGTCAAGGGTGCCTGCAACTGGCCGGAGGGTATCCAGGGTCTCGGGTGTGGGGCGAGGCAGAGGCAGTTAGGGGCGATCAAACAGCCAGGCAGGCAGGCAAGCAGTTAGGAGCCAGTGGTTCTGGATTGTAAGAGGCAGTTGGAGCCAAAGCCGGTTTGGCTCAGTGGATGGAGCGTTGGCCTGCGGACTGAAAGGTCCCAGGTTCAATTCCGGTCAAGGGCATGTACCTTGGTTGCAGGCACATCCCCAGTGGGGAGTGTGCAGGAGGCAGCTGTTGGTGTTTCTCTATCATTGATGTTTCTAACTATCTCTCTCCCTTCTTCTCTGTGGAAAATCAATAAAATATTTTAAAAAAGACAGTTGGACATCTCTTGAGGGGTCCCGGATTGGAGAGGGTGCAGGTCAGGCATGCACATAAAACTCCAATTCACATTTAGCATGTACGTAAAACTCCAATTCACATTTTTCATATAATTAAAATGTTTTTACCTCGTTAACAGCACACATTCGTGCCACAGAACCAATGTTATTGGTGATAGTAACTAAAGTAGCTCTTGCTAGATCTTCTTTACTAACAGATTCTCGCTTCTCCTTATAAATCATGTTGCCAAAACTGCAGAGAAATGAAAAAACAAAATTAACTGCTGATAAAAAGCAACATTTCGTACATATGGGGAAGTTATCCTAAAGATCAATCTACACATATACAGGGTTATTCTTTGATTCACTGAACATACCAAAATAATGTGAACCCAAACATCACCAAACAATGAAATAGCATGAAACTGTTAACAAGGAAGAAAGAAGGGAAGGGAATAGAGGAAGGAGAGGGATGGGAGGGTGAGAAAGAAAGGGAGGCAGAGAAAGACTATAGTATATATATATGTTGCCAGAGTATATGTATCCCCTAGCTGGTCTGGTTCAGTGGTTGAGCATCAGCAGCCCACAGACTGAAGGGTCCTGGGTTCAATTCCGTTCAAGGACATGTACCTCAGTTACAGGCTCGATACCTGGCCCTGTGTCTCTCTCATATTGAAGTATCTCTCATATTTCTGTCTCTACCCTGCCCTTCCATTCTCTCTAAAAATCAATGAAAAAATATCCTTGGGTGAGGATTAACAACAACAACAAAACCGTGAATAATAAATCCATGTCTCCGTCTATCTCTCTTCCCCTTCATCTCTCTCTCTCTCAAATTAGTAAAATAAACCAATCATTTAAAAAAATGTTAAAAAGTATATATGTATGCTAGTTACTGGTATATAAATGTTACCTTCTAACTAAGGGGAGGATAAGTATATGTACTTGTATTTACAGAAGATTTAAAATGGAAATGCCATAGATCCAGCAATTCTATCTCTGGGTATTTATCTGAAGAAATCCAGAATGCTAATTTGAAAAGATATAATCACAGAAAGAATACCCAAGGGTTAATAAAAATGGACTCCTATAGGGTGCACTCAGGAAGACGTCTAAGATCTAATTCTGAAATAACATAAGCCTTCAAAATTTGGAATCTAAACTGAGTAAGAAGAAGCCCCCTTACAACTTCCTGATATACTTAACGCTTTCTAAAAACTAAATGAGCAACTTTGTTTTTTAATTTTCAATTTCAGTTAACATGTAATATTGTATTAGTTTCGGGTGTACAACTTAAGTGACTAGACATTTATATAACTTAGGAAATGATCACTCTATAAGTCTAGTACCCATCTGACACCCATACAGTCATTACATTTTTATTGAATACTAGAGGCCCGGTGCATGAAATTCGTACATGGTGTGTGTGTGTGTGTGTCTGTCCCTCCACCCAGCCTGCACCCTATCCAATCTAGGACATCCCTCTCACGATCCAGGACTGCCGGCTCCCGATTGCTCGCCTGCCTGCCTTCCTGATCGCCCCTAACCACTTCTGCCTGCCAGCCTGATTGATGCCTAACTACTCCCCTGCTAGCCTATTTGCCTCTAACTGCCCTTCCTTGCAGGCCTGGGTCCCCCCCGCCCCCCAACTGTTTTTCCCTGCAGGCCCGGTTGCCCCCAACTTCCCTCCTCTGCCTGCCTGGTTACCCCAAATTGTCCTCCCCTGCTGGCCATCTTTGTCCACATGGGGGCAGTCATCTTTTGATCACATGGGGGCAACCATCTTGTGTTGGAGTGATGGTCAATTTTCATATTATTATTTTTTTTATTAGGTAGGATTAGATAAGCTAGAAGCCTGGTGCACAGGTGGAGGCCAGCTGGTTTGCGTTGAAGGATGTCCCGGATCAGGATGGGGGTTCCCTTGGGGGGTGGGATGGTTTGAGTGAGGGGCCTGTGGTGGTTGGCAGGCTGGCCATGTCCCCCTAGTGATCCAAGCAGAGGCCCTGGTGTCTGGGATTCATTTATCTTCTATAATTGAAACTTTGTAGTCTTAAGCGGAGGCCAAGGCAGGCCAGGACAGGAGGAAAGCTTGGCTTCCTCCATTGCCGGAGAAACCCAAGCCTCCCACTCTCTCCATGGCCGCAGCCATCTTGGTTGGGTTAATTTGCATACTCCTTATTGGCTGGTGGGTATGGCAGAGGGATGATCAATTTGCATATTACTCTTTTATTAGATAAGACTAGAGGCTTGGTACACGAAATTTGTGTGAGTATGTGTGTGTGAGCCCAACCTGCACCCGCTCCAACCTGGGGTCCCTCCTAATTGCCCTCCCCTGCTGGCCTGATTGCCCACAACTGCCATCCTCTGCCAGCCATCTTGTGTTCACACAGGGGCAGCCATCTTTGACTACATGGGGGAGGCCATCTTGTGTGTTGAAGTGGTCAACTTGCATCTTACTTTTATTAGATAGGGCTAGAGCCCCAATGCATGAAATTCGTGCAATAGTAGGCCTTCCCCTGGCTGCCGGCACTGGCTTCCCTCTGGCACCTGGGACCCGGGCTTCCCTCATAGCCCTGGCTTCATCAGGAAGGATGTCCAGTCTAATTAGCATATTACGCTTTTATTATTATAGACATTCCCTATGCTGTACTTAACATCCCTGTGACTATTTTTTCACCCATCCCCACAATCCTCTTCCATCTGACAACCGTCAATTTGTTCTCTGTAGCTGTAAGTTTAAACATTTGTTTTTTAGATTCCACATAAGTGAAATCATGTTATAGTTGTCTTTCTCTATCTGACTTACTTCACTTAGCATAATACCCTCTAGATCCACCCACATTGTGGCAAATGGAAAGACTTCATTCATTTTTATGGCTGAGTAATATTCCATTGTATCATAAGTTCTTTATCCACTTGTCTATCAATGAACACTTATTGTTTTCATAACTTGGCTACTATTATTAACACTGCAATGAAAATAGGGGTGCATTTGCCTTTTCAAATTAATGTTTTGTATTTCTTCAGATAAATACCCAGAAGTAGGATTGTTGGAACTTGTGGCTGTTTGTTTTTAAATCTTTTTTTTTTTTTTAAATAAATCTTTATTGTTCAGATTATTACAATTGTTCCCCCCCCCACCCCCCATAGCTCCCCTCCACCTGGTCCCCACTCCCCCCTCTGCCCTTATCTCCCCACCTGCTCCGCTGCCCATAGGTATATTCAGTCTCTTCCCATACCCCCCACACAAACACCAGTTTCCCCCTGAGAATTATCAATTCCCTCACATTCTATGCTCCTGATTCTAATATATTCACCAGTTTATTCTATTCCTCAGATTTTTAATTCACTTGACTTTTAGATTCATTTGTTGATAGATATGTATTTGTTGTTCATAATTTTTAACTTTACTTTTTTCTTCTTTTTCCTCTTTTTAAAGAACACCTTTTTAGCATTTCATATAATGCTGGTTTGGTGATGATGTACTCCTTTAACTTTTTCTGATTTGTGAAGCTTTTTATCTGCCCTTCAATTCTGAATGATAACTTTGCTGGGTAGAGTAATCTTGGTTGAAGGTTCTTGCTATTCATCACTTTGAATATTTCTTGCCACTCCCATCTGGCCTGAATAGTTTCTGTTGAGAAATCAGCTGATAATCATAAGGGTGCTCCCTTGTAGGTAACTGTTTTTCTCTTGCTGCTTGTAAGATTCTTTGTCTTTTGCTCTTGGCATTTTAATTATGATATGTCTTGGTGTGGCCCACTTTGGATTCCTTTTGTTTGGGGTTCTGTGTGCTTCCTGGACTTATAAGTCTATTTCTTTCACCAGGTGGGGGAAGTTTTCTGTCATTATTTCTTCAAATAGGTTTTCAGCATCTTGCTCTCTCTCTTCTTCTGGCACCCTCATAATTCTAAAGCTGGTACGCTTGAAGTTGTCCCAGAGGCTTCTTACACTATCTTCAACTTTCTGGATTCTTTTCTCTTCTTCTCCGGAAGAGTGTCCTTTGCCTCTTTGTATTCCAAATCTTTGACTTGATTCTTGCGTTCTTCTAGTCTGCTGTTGGGTCTCTGTATTTTTTTCTTTAATTTCAGTAAGTGTATGTTTAATTTCTAGTTGGTTTAATTTCTTTTTCATATCCTCGAGGATCTTGTTTAATTTATTGGCCTTTTCTAGAAAATTCTTAAAAAACCTTATAACCGTGGTTTTGAACTCATATCCTCCATTTCTTTTGTTTGAGATGTTTCCTTTTCTCGGCATTTTTGCTGCTTCCCTGAGTTGGTAGGATAGCTTTGTGGGCCTGGGTGTGTCCTATATGGTTCAAGGGGTCAGCCTCCCAGTTGCCTGATGTGGACACTCTTGGTGCACCCTTTTGTGGACTGTGTGTACACCCTTGTTGTAGTTAAGTTTTGATTGTTGTTGGTGTCACTGGGAGGAATGACCTCCAGGCCAATTGGCTGTGAGGACCCACTGTGTCTATAACGGAAGAATTGCTGTGCTGGAGACTCGTTTATGGGGGAGGACTTGTTCCTGTAGGGCAGTGTTTCCCAAAGTGAGGTATGTGTACCCCTAGGGGTATGGGAATAGTTTGGTGGGGGTACGTGTTGCACCAGAGTTTGATGGGGATATGTACTGCACCGTGCTTAGCTGCGCCCAATTCTACCTTCTCATGAGTACGAGGGGTATTCAGCATTACAAAAATTATAGAAGAGGTACCCATATGTCAAAAGTTTGGGAAACACTGCAGCAGGGCTTTGGTGCTCACTGAGTCTGTCTCTTAATGTGTCTCTTATGAAAGTAGTTGAAATCTGGTGTTGTCTCACACTGACCACTAGATACACTTGTTTCCTGATCTCCAATGGGGTGCAATTCAGCTACTGTCTGAGGCCACCATGCAGGAGCTATAGCAAGAACCATAGCCCTCTCCTCCCTGCTTGGAGCTTGAAGCTTTGGAGCTATCTGCACCAGGTTGCAAGTTTGGAAGGTTAAACTGCAACAGAGAAGGTCATTTATATGCAAAAGCAGCTGCTTGGAGCTTGGGTGTGTTTGTAGATTGTGCGGGGCAGAGTATCAGGGTGGAGTCTCAGGGCATCTCGAGGCTAGGGCGTGGCAAAGAGCTATGGCTGACTGTCAGCCTTCTCTGCCTCTCTGACCTGTGTCACCGTGTCTCTTGCCCCAGCACAGCAAACAATTATTCTTGCACGGAGCTCTGCAAGCAAGCCACCCTCACTTTCCAACCAAATGGCAGACAGTCTAGCTTCTCCCCAGAAACTGGATTTCAGAGAGGATTGGGAGCTTTTCTCTCTTCTGGTTGCAGAAAGCAACACCCTCCACCAGCCGGGATCCGCCCCTGCCCGTATCACCCTCATGCCCCTGTACATCAGTTTTTCAGCTCTTGTGCCCTGAATGCTCCTTTCTCTTTCAATCTAGATGTAGAGCTAGTTTTCCCGTGGTTCTGGGAGATGGACGTTTTGTTTTTAGTTGTAGTTTTGAAATCGTTGTGCGAGGCAGTAGTTTAGGTATGTTTACCTAAGCCGCCATCTTGGATCTTGCCCTGTCCTTTTTTTTTTTTTAAATATATTTTATTGATTTTTTATAGAAAGTAAGGGAGCAGGATAGAGTTAGAAACATCAATGAGAGAGAAACATCAACCAGCTGCCTCCTGCACACTTCCCACTGGGGATGTGCCCACAACAAGGTACATATGCCCTTGACCGGAATAGAACCTGGGACCCTTGAGTCTGCAGGCCGACGCTCTATCCACTGAGCCAAACTAGTTAGGGCTCTACTTTAAATCTTCTGAGGAACCTCCATACTGTTTTCCATAGTGGCTGCATCAATTTGCAATCCTACCACCAATGCCCGAGGGCTCCCTTTTCTTCACATCCTTGCCAACATTTATTTGCTGATTTACTGGTGATAGCCATTCTGACAATTGTGAGGTGGTATCTCATTATGGCTTTAATTTGCCCTTCCCTGATAATTAGTGATGTTGAGCATCTTTTCATATGTCTATTGGCCATCTGTATGTCCTCTTTGAAGAAATGTGTGTTAAGGTCCCCAGCCCATTTTGTAATTGGATTGTTTTGTTTTTTGGTGTAAGTTATATGAGTTCCTTATTTATTTTGGATATAAATAAGCAACTTTAATTACAACACAAGTGTTAAACTTACCTAGATGCTACAGCCCAACCTGGCAGGCCAAATCTTTCATAATCTCCTCCATAAATATCACGGACCAGCTTGTCAGCATTGGTGCTGTCACCTTTGGATGCCATTTCAAGAGCCTCTTCAAAACTTTCACAGCCAGTCAATAAACTGCATAAGCCCAGAAAGGTACCTCCTCCAAGGCTAAAATAAATAAATAAACTCTATGAGCTGCATTTACACACTGTATTCTTTCTCCAGAGAAAAAAGATGAAGCACTTATTTATTCAATAAACACATAGAAACAACATATTGCTAATGCTTAGTACTGAAATATTAATATAATGAGGAAAAGTTAAAAATGCTTAGCCAAACCTAACTGGTGAGGTCAAAGAATAAAAGGAAAAAAGATCACTTGGTCGAAACAGCATGAGGACAGGAGGGTTTTTTATATCTTCCAATAACGTCAGCTGATCCTTTATATTTTTTACTGCTAACAATAAATGTTTTTATGTGCATGTGAAAGGATTAAGTGCTAAAAATGTGCACCATCTAAAGTGAAAGGAGAAAACTTCTGATTCTATAGGATTTCCAGGATATGATTCTGTGGAAGGCCTACTTATTTGGTCTGACAAGGCTGAAAGCAGTTCACTGCTACATTACCGTTTACAAGACCCAAAAATAAAGATAACGAGGAGATTTATGTCAGCAGGGACATCATGTTAAGATAGAAGTTTACTTGGTTCTATTATTCTTTTGGATAGTCTCACAAAATAAAATCATGTCTTTTTAATCCCTAAAATCAAAGCCTGTGCTCCCTCGTCTCACCTAAACTTCAAACAAGTTCTATCCTCGAATCACAGTTGGAATTTAGTGAACAGGCTGAATTTCTGTCTTTTAGAATCGATTTAAGTAGGTAATACAGTCGTCCCCTCTCATCTGTGGGGACACGTTCCAAGACCTCCAGTAGATGCCTCAAATTGCAGATAGTAATGAACTCTATTTTTCCTATATGTATCCATAATAAACTTAATTTATAAACGAGGCAGAGTAAGCAATTAACAGTAACTAGTAATGAAATAAAACAATTCTAACAACACACTGGAATAAGTTATGTGAATGTGGGCACTTGTGTCAGGGGACCCCAGGCTGACGGCTTCCTGTAGGCTCAGTGCTTCTGGGGCATCACGTTGCCATCAGTCAGAAAACGGGTTCTGCTCACCTTCCAACTTCGAGTTTAATGCCTTTTTCACTTAACTAAGCACTTATCACACGCTGTTGCTGTAACACTGGCAGTTGGAGGTGTGACAGCGAAATTAGCAGGCAATTTTTTTTATCCTTCATAATTTGAGGCATAGAAAATTTGTTCCCCTTAGCATAGATTTCTTTTACTTATTAAGTCGACAACTTTCCTTTCAAGAACTTTAAGGCTTCTTGATGGCATGTCTGGATTCCCAGCATCACTGCTCTTGTGCTTTGGGATCAATATCTTTTTTTAAAAAAAATATATATTTTATTGATTTTTTACAGAGAGGAGGAGAGAGAACTAGAAACGTCGATGAGAGAGAAATATCAACCAGCTGCCTCTTGCACACCCCCAACAGGGGATGTGCCCACAACCAATACACATGCCCTTGACCGGAATCAAACCTGGGACCTTTCAGTCCGCAGACCGATGCTCTACCACTGAGCCAAACCGGTTTCGGCGGGATCATTATCTTAATACTAGAGGCTGGCTGGCCTATCCTGATTGGGGCTAATGGGGGCGGGGCAGCCAGGGGGAGGGGATGTAGGTGGTTGGCTGGTCAGCCCCGCCTTCTGGTTGAACTCCCAGTCAAGGGGAGCATATTATGCTTTTAATATATAGGTATAAAAACCCTGGGTCTGTCACATCCACAACTGGAGGCTTGATTAACCAGAAGTCAGTCCTGCAATCAATGCTGGGTCACCACTGACTGCTGAGGGGGTTGTGAATCAGACCCAGCCTAGAGACCTGAAGAGAGAACAAGAGTCTGATCTGTAGCCTCTGTGGCAACTGTTTATCAGCACTTGCCTTTTTTTCTCTTTGGGCCTGGCTAGCAGCTGTGCCTCCATTTCTCTCTAGGTCTCCACAGGGCAAGCTGATTAGCCTCTAATCAGGCCCCAGTGATAGGCCCAGAGACACTGATTGGCATAGAAACAGACCATTTAGAACAAAATCTGGGTGAACTGTGAGGAGCCAATGGCTGTCTAGGAGGTGGAGCTTTTGATGTTGACTGGCATAGAAATTGACCAATCAGAACTAATTTGGCCGGCAGAAGGCAATTGGGGGTGAGATCAGGACGGCAGGGGAGGGCAATAGGGTGTGATTAGGCCATCAGGGGAGGGCATTTGGGGGCAACCAGGCCTGTAGGGGAGGGCCTTTGGGGGGGACCACGCTGGCAGAGGAGGGAATTTGGGGGCCATTAGGCTGGCAGGGGAGCAGTTAGGTGTTAATCAGGCCTGCAGGGGAACGAGTAGGGGGTGATCAGGCAGGCAAGCGATTAGGAGTCAGGAGTTCCGGATTGTGAGAGGGTGTAGGCTGGGCTGAGGGACAACTCCCTAACCAGTGCATGAATTTCACGCACCAGGCCTCCAGTTATTGAATAAAATAATTACTTCATGTAAGTGCTGCAACTCTGCCACAGTGGGTCTGATAACCGAGATGCTACTCTGTGACTAAGGGGCAGGAAGTGTACATACATAGGGAGCATCATGAGCAAGATAGCATGGAGATTTCATCATGCTACTCAGAACAGTGTGCACGTTAAAACTCATACACTGTTTAACTCTGAAAATTATGATTTAATATTTTGATTTAATACAGTAACTGAAACTGCAGAAAGCAAAACCACACATAAAAGGGAACCATGGGACTTTCCTATAATTCGGTGGCATAGTTACAGTGGAAATAGATTTTTAACCACCACAAAAATAAAATAATTTTATTAAGTTTAAGTATTATTTAAATAGGAATGCTACTTTAAAATTGAAACGAGGCCCTAGCTGGTTTAGCTCAGTGGATAGAGCATTGGCCTGAGGACTGAAGGATCCTGGGTTTAATTCCAGTCAAGAGCACATGCCCGGATTGCAGGCTCAATTCCTGGTGGGAGGTGTGCAGGAGGCAGCAAATCATGATTCTCTCTCATCACTGATGTTTCTCTGTGTTTTTCTCTCTTTCTTCTCTCTCACTTCTCTGAAATCAATAAAAAATTGAAAAGAATTTTTCATAGGTTAACCTGAAATATGCCCAAATTGATCTAAATTAAATAAAGAGGAGTCTTCACCCTCCTTAAACATCAATCAAGTATATATCAGAATCATAGAAAAAATTTAAAATCTTTCACATTCGTGTTTTAGGTACTACAGAAAATTTGAAAGGATATTTGGAACATTAATATTATTCCATAAAGAATGCATACTAATTCATCCTGTAAGAATTAATTACAACATTACCCAATACTCTGCATGACATCAGCAGATGGTAAGCTTTAGCCTTAAATACACCTATAAAAATGTGAAAAAGAAGGCAAGAAGAAAAATGCTTTGGAAAATAAAAAAGTCACTGGAACCACTCCAGACAAAAATTCAATTGTGTTTATTGAATTTAGGGAAAAAGAAAGTGAGAGGGAGAGAAAGAAACACTGATATGAGAGAGACCTTGATGGGAAGCCTCCCTTATGCACCCTGACGGAGAATGAATCCCCAACCTGGGTTATGTGGCATTGACCAGGAATTGAATAAGATTGAATAAGCAATCTTTTGGAACATAGGATGATGCTCAACTGGCCAGGGCAAAAATTCACTTCGCTTAACATTATGGGAATTTTAATGCCAATTGGCACTCATGAAATTTAAATATTCGTTATTTACCTTGTCCCAGTTACTCGTTTATAGTTGTCTTTGGAATGGACTGCTAGAATACTGACTCCCGAGCCAATATTCACTACCAGCAACGGATAGGGGTCGTCCAGGTTAAAAGGCATCTTTTGGCATCTCTCAGGTTCTGAGGCATTAGCAAAATAGTAGCACTCTGCTTGTCCATTGAAACTGACAGAATCTATATACAGCAAGCCCTTTACAAGACAGTCAAGTTCATCCAGTTTGTGCAGGTGGAGGTTTCCGATCTGTAAAAGAATACCAACAAATTTTATAAAGTGAACAAAAACCAGCATTTAAAAATTCCGACTCAGTTATACTGTATAATTTTCATGTACTTTACAAAACTTCAAAATCATCTATGACCCCCACATTATTACTTTTTTGTTTTGTGTCAAATTCTCTTTGGGACTTCATCTAGTCCAGTGGCCTCAGTGGCATCTCTGGAGGCATTTTGGAAACCTGTGAGGACATCTTAGTTTTCACAAAGATGGGATAGAGCAGTGGTCGCAGTTTGCCACTCTGTTGCTGACCACTGACCTAAGCATTTAAAAGAGGAACACTTGGCTCAGTAGCTGAACTTTGACCTATGAACTAGGTGGTTGGCAAACTCATTAGTCAACAGAGTGGTAAACCTCGGCTTGGGAGCCACATGTTGCTAGCATGCCACGATTTGCTGACCACTGGGATAGAGGGACCAGACTAACATTCAGTCGCAGGGACGTGGGAGGCCTGACCTCTCCCCTGGCTTTTGGAAAACATGCCCAAACAAACCGGTCTCAAAGTCATAAACTTTATGTTTCAATTACTCAATAAATTGAAATCAGGATTATCAATTAAGGAAAAAAAATTAATAAACATTTAGATTCTTCAGTTATCCTCAATTACAAAGGAGGTTGTTTATGCGAGCCATATATAAGTGATCACTTCTGTTCTAGTAACACTTTTCTTATGTGAATTGAGAAAGTAAATTGCATACATGCATATTTTCAAGGGAAAATTTTATTAGTCCCAAATACCAACTTTTAAATCTTGATTCTAATGAAAAGGACAGGAATCTGGCAAACCTCTACTAGCACATAAATCAGCACTTATATAGCCTTTTTGCCATATCCAAATAATTGCCTTTAAGACAGTAAATAAAACCAGAAAAAAGGGGTAACAGGGACTTTTAATCAAGTGTCGACTAACCAGAAGACACTGGCTTCAGTTGGGGTTAGGGAAGGAGATGGCTATGGGGAGACAACTATATGGCTCATACTCAAAACCTGCAAGCATAACACAATAATAGAGTAATTCAAGCCACATTTCTACCTGGATATGTCCACTGTTAAATTCATTGAAGCTCTTTTTATTGTTGTAGTCCCTAACAAGAGCAGTTTTTTAGCAAATATCATGTACAACACTAACCCCAAATATGGCACTTCATAATGAACTTATAAAAGTGTTTAAATGCCCCAAATCAAAAGCTATTCATGGCCGGGACCGGTTTGGCTCAGTGGATGGAGCGTCGGCTTGGGAACTGAAGGGACCCGGGTTCGATTCCAGGCATGTACCTTGGCTGCGGGCATATCCCCAGTGGGGGGTGTGCAAGAGGCAGCTGATTGATGACACTCTCTCATCGATGTTTCTAGCTCTCTCTCTCTCTCTCCCTTCCTCTCTGTACAAAATCAATAAAATATATTAAAAAAAAAAAAAAAAAAAAGCTAGTCATGAATCAGCAGGAACTACTACTGTAGCACTGTGTTCTAGTAAAAAGAACAGTGTAGCACTGTGTTCTGGTAAAAAGTCTGCTCAGATTGGCCAGAGTCAGAGAGGCTGTCTATTAAAAAAAGAACTGGTGTTTCCTCGGAAGTGGGGGGTAGTCTTATACAGTGAATATAGGCCTAAACCTATGTTTTAACTGTAAAATTAGGGGGTCGTCTTATAAGCCGGAAAATACGGTAAGCTAAGAAAAACACTAGTTGGAAACCTAGCCTCATATTTAAAAACTGAAGAGACTGGGCACCAATTTTTGGCTTTGAGTACCAGACACCTACTGTGCGAAAATCTTTTTCAAACTTGTAAGCACCACCTCCTGTAGCACATAGCACCGTGTGTAATGTGGAGAAGTTTTTATCTTTTCCCATTTGGATAAAAGTAGGCAGGTCCTGGGTTGGAAATCTGATAAAGTGCAGGTTCCCTCTTCGGCCAAAAAGTGTTAAATCCTTCAGTTCAAGGTGTACATCCCGGATACCTGTGGATCCGTATGCTACATTAGAAGTCAAATATTTCCGGATACTTTTCAAGCTCTCAACTTCTTCTTGTTCTTCCTCTGCTGTGATATCAATCGGTTCAAAATATGAGAGTTTTACTAGAGTTCCCCCAATGTCCATGCCAAACCATGGGAAAGCTGTGGATAAAAACAGGAAAAATTTCAATACTAGTGGCCTGGTGCACAAAATTTGTGCATGGGGTTGGGGTGTCCCTCAGCCCGGCCTGCAGGGACCCCTTGGGGAATGGTTTAGGCCTGATCCCTGGAATTGAGCCTAAACAGAAAGACGGATATCTCTCTCTCAATCGAGGATAGCTGGCTCCCAACTACTCACCTGCCTGCCTGTCCCTAACCACCTCTGCCTCGGCCCCGTCACCATGGCTTTGTCCAGAAGGTCTCCCGGTCTAATTGGCATATTACCTTTTTATTGGTATAGACTAGTAGCCCTGCTCATGAATCTGTGTGCCAGCAGCTCTCTGTGGGACCTAGCTGGTCCGCGCCTGCTGCCCAGAGGCCCATCCACGGTGGGCGTGGAACACTTGCCTCATCGCTGCAGCAACGAAGCAAGCATTCTGCCAGGCTGCTTACAGTGGCTGCCCCCTATTCCTGGACTGGGTAACTCCGGTGGGGCTGAAAGGACTGGGTGCCATCATCTTTGTGATGGCGTGATGGTTAATTTGCATATTACTCTTTTATCAGATGCATTAGTCCATAATACTTACCCCTTCTCCCTTCAAAATGTTTTTACATCTTTTCTAAAAACTCGTTCAGAGAATGCTTGGCCTAAGGCCTTTTAATTCCTACCAAGGCATTCCCTTTTCATTTATGAAATACTTATCATAAATATATAAGCCCTGCCAGCATGTCTTAAGCATCAACCTATGAACCAGGAGATCATGGTCCAATTCCTAGTCAGGGCATGTGCCCAGGTTACAGGGCTCCATCCCCAGTGTGGGGCATGCAGGAGGTAGCCAATCAATGATTCTCTCTCATCATTGATGTTTCTCTCTCTCCTTCCCCCTTCCTCTCTGAAATCAACAAAAACATTTTTTAAAAAAGTTATATATCAACTTTCTCCCCCTCATTCAAATAAATCAGCAGGAGCAAGCAGCAATACTGACAGTCAAGAGGGGACATTCACAGCCAAGTGCTTGCTTGGATAAACATATTTAAAGAAAATAACATGGAATAGGCCCAACTGATCCAATAAAGCAGATTCCTTCAGAATTTTCCAAATCTGTTGAGCAAGTATTAGGATACTTTTCAATGAGGATTATATAAAATAAGGATCCTTCTCTTATTACATAACCAAAATGAATTCTCGCATTTGATTAATGTTTGATTATAGATTTCATAGGGGTGGGGGGGTAGAAATCACTACTGCCACATATAGAAAAATCTATACAAGTTGATATTAAGCTAAAAATCTTTTGTTTTCTAAAACTCAAAATTTATTAAAATCACTTAACATTCACAGTTGTTCCTTCTGGGCCTTTGTCAGTGTCAAACACACAGGTATCAAAATATACATACAAATAAAAATGTTACTCAGAGAGCAAACTACAAAGCTGAGGCAGCATTACCGGGCTCAAAGTTCATGCCATTTCATTTTCAGTCAGAAGCCTGACAGCTCCTGGGTTATAAATACCTGAATGTTGTCATCCTGAAAAGCAAAAAGTCCAGTAACACATGAAGGACTTTTAATCCTTACAGTAAACCATGAATAAAGTTCTACAGGAACCTTACTACCCAGAAAAATACTTCAGGGTTATAGATAAAATATTAGAGAGTAAGAGATTATCTACTTTTCTAAAGCTATGCATGAGCATCAAGGTTTTTAACCCTAAAGGTATGTCAGCGGCCATTGACTGTGGAGGAGCAGGCAGTAAAAAGGCTCCGAGTGAAGTCCTGTTTCTGAAGTCCAGACTGCAGGGAAGTGTTAATTGTTCGGCTCTTTCTTAGAGTCTGGGTTTAATTTTCTGTTTGGGTTCAATTTTCACTAAGACAATTTACTTTAAAAGTATATATTTTATTGATTTTTTGAGAGGAAGGGAGAGGGATGAAGAGTTAGAGACATCGGTCAGCTGCCTCCTGCACACCTCCTACTGGGGATGTGCCCGCAACCAAGGTACGTGCCTGGAGTCAAACCTGCGATCTTTTGGTCCACAGGCCGATGCTCTATCAACTGAGCCAAACTGGTTAGGGCCATTAAAACTATTTAAACAACAAAAACACCTCTCCCAGCTTCCAGGAGGCTTTTGTGGATCTAGTGGCATGAAACTACCAGATCTGTCCTATCTCAGAAAGAAAACATCATACAGAAAGTAAAAAACATTTATAACATAAGGAAAGCTATGCTATATTATTCTAGCATATTCCACCTCATTTGTCTTAAATTAAACACTGAAGATTGTAAAATGTGTATGGTACCTAAGGCACAAAAGAATGACACAATCAACAACCAGGACCTCATGAAACAGAATAGAATATTTATTGCCATTCAATTTTCAATCTTTGGGAGATCCACTTGTTTGTACATTGGTCTAGACAAGTGGTTGGCAAACTCATTAGTCAACAGAGCCAAATATCAACAGTACAACGAATGAAATTTCTTTTGAGAGCCGAAAACCCACTTCTGCGCATGGGGCACAAAGTTTCAATTGCACTGTATGTGCGCTCGCAAGTGGTATTTTGTGGAAGAGCCACACTCAAGGGGCCAAAGAGCCGCATGTGACTTGTGAGCAGCAGTTTGCTGACCACTGGTCTAGACACACAGAAGGTTCTATGAAGTAACTAAATTCAAGTGGAAAAATAATGCAATTTCCTTAAGGGTTATTGCCCACAGAGGTAGCTTTTATATCAATACCGCAAAAAAACCCCAAAAAACCCTGATTCCTCTCCCATCTAGCCTATTAGCTATGTCTGCTCTTTTAGTGCTGTCTGCTCTAAAAAGGAGGCTAGCTAGAGATTCTAAATTGCAGATGATAAATTTCTTTGTAAACTAGAACATTATATGTCCCTTCTATTTCTAGTAGATCTCAAATACGCCAATTTTCTTCTTACTATTAGAAAGGTAGGGACTGAAACTCAGCCAGTGGCACAAAAAAAAAAAAAAGTTACCATTTGCACAGGGATAGGGAGAGAGCCTTTCAACTCAGCAGAATTCTGGAATTCACTTCCTTACACCAGTGAAACAATCACCATTAAAGGTATGGGGGCCCTGGCTAGTATGACTTGGTTGAACACCTATGCACCTAGAGATCCCTAGGTCAGGTGTGTATCAAACGATTGATGCTTCTTCTCCCATTGATGTTTCTTTTTTAAAAAATATGCTTTATTAATTTTTTACAGAGAGGAAGGCAAAGGGACAGAAAGTCAGAAATATCGATCAGCTGCCTCCTGCACACCTCCCACTGGGGATGTGCCCGCAAACAAGGTACATGCCCCTGACCAGACCCTTGAGTCTGCAGGCCGACACTCTATCCACTGAGCCAAACAGGTCAGGGCTGATGTTTCTCTTTCTCCCCCTCTCCCTTCCTCTAAAATCAATTAAAAAAAAAAAAATTAAGTTCCACTTTAAAAAAATTATGTGGGTGTCAACAGAACACAGAAGTCACAAATTCTTAGTTATCACTCCTATCATCTAGCAATTGGTCTAATGACCAACTTTTACATTTTCCAGTGCATTAAAAAAGTTATTTGTCACTAACCAAAATGGATGGGGGGTGGGGCATGGAACTCAAACATTATTTATCTGCAGTGAAAGTATGAAAATATTAGTTTCCTAAGAAATTAGACAAGTAACTAGCTTTGTTGCTTCTAGCCAAGGGACAGGTTCAAAGCAGGTCATCAGCACACTTACTGCATATGACCTAAACATTTTTTTTTTTTAATTTCTTTATTGATTTCAGAGAGGAAGAGGGAGAGATAGAAACATCAATGATAAGAATCATTGATTGGCTGCCTCCTGCACGCCCCCTACTGGGGATCAAGCTTGCAACCCGGGCATGTGCCCTTGGCAGAATCGAACTTGGAATCCTTCAGTCCGCAGGCTGGCTAGGGCAACCTAAACATTTCTTATCTTTTGAGAATAAAACTCTTTACTACCAAGGTAAAAAAAAAAAAAAAAAAAAGAATGAACCAAAGGACACGTTTAAAAAATAAAACACACATTCCATAGTATAAATACTTTATTGATGGCAAATATCAATTACCTTCTCTAGACTGAGAATTTCTTAGAATCTTCTGTGATCTGTGTATTTGGTTTAAAACACTAACAACAAAAACAACAGCTACCATTCTATTTCTGATAGGAGTCTAAGAGAGCTGCCAGTAGTTCATAAATTACAAAATATCCAGAACTACCAGTAAGCATAGAATAGCACCAAGAATTCTTATCAGATAGATTATGTAAACAGCTTTAGATAGATATCTAGCCACAGGGGCTGGAATGCTGCATTATAAAGTTTGGCATCTTGCTAAGTCCTGGAAAAGGGATGGGAAAGAATCATTAAAGAGATATTTAGTCGAAACCGGTTTGGCTCAGTGGATAGAGCATAGGCCTGCAGACTAAAATGTCCCAGGTTAGATTCTGGTCAGGGGCATGTACCTTGGTTGCGGGCACATCCCCAGTAGAGGGGTGTGCCGGAGGCAGCCGATTGATGTTTCTCTCATCAATGTTTCTCTCTATCCCTTTCCCTTCCTCTCTGTAAAAAATCAATAATACATACACACACACACACACACACACACATATATATATATATATATAAATAATTGCTATTGGTCCAATGCAAATTTCAGCCCAAAGGGATCCTATGCCAAATTAGATTTGTATTTCCCTTATAGCTAGTTACACTGAGCATCTTTTTAGATACCTGTAGGTCATCTGTATGTCTTTTTGGGAAAAGTGTCTGTTCAGGTCCTCTGCCCATTTTTAGACTGGATTATTTTGGTACTTGTTGAGTTATAGGAGCTCTTTATATATTTTGGATATTTGCCAGTTATCGGAGGTATTATCTGCAATATGTTCTATTAGTTTGGATGCCTTTCTGTATTGTTAATGGTTTCCTTTGCTGCGCAGAAGCTTTTTAGTTTGATGTAGTCCTATTCTTTTATTTTTGCTTTTATTTCCCTTGCCTTTGAGGTAAGGGTTCACAAAACACTTCTGAGATCAAGATTCATAAATTTAGTATGTTTTCTGAAAGTGATAATTCTTAAGTAGTGACTCAACTTACAAGGCCAATCAAATTACACAGACACAAACTACAAATACATGCTATATCACTCTCTCTGGTTTTAACAAAAATTTCAGGTACCTTACTGCTTGGGTTAGCAAAGCAGACTCCAAAGCCTCTATCACATCAAATTTTAAAAAAATATCTGTACAATGCGAAAAATATTCTCAGGTGAGGAGTAACCAAATATATATTACTATCTCTTTGTTAATTATGTTTACATGCCACATAAGGAAAAAAAAAAAGGCTGAAAGAGTCTATACCTTAATAAATCATGCCAATTGAGGCGCAGAGGAACACGATTGTTCAGATTTCTAGCATCTTTAATATCTAATATTTAAGCGGTGTGAAAAACCGCTTATGGCAAATTAAACGAATATTGCCATTATTTTGGTTCTCATATTTTAACTAGCAAGAAACTTTCATTAGGTTAATGTTTGACGCCATCCTTCTCCTGGACTTTAATTCACACGTAATTGAAAATGATAATCTTTTTGTTATATAATCTAGAGGATGAAACCAATTCCTTTTCCTATTTTCTAGTTAAATAAATGCATTTGTAAATAACCTGGTCATATATTAGAGGTGTATCTAAAAGCAATTGTTTTCTAAACCTTAGGAGTATAATGTAAGAGTGTGTGAAGCCAAAGTCACTTATTTAACCAGTCTGAGATACAACTTCTAGTTAGTGGTGTGCTATAGGGGCTAAATGATTCAATGCTCACAGTGCCTTATACATACATTTAGGTGTTCACTAAACTTATAATTAAAAAACCCTATACAGGTACTCAAAAACAAAACAAATACATATCTAATACCTAAGCTGAGTGATTTCAAAAATTAGAAGTAACACTTTCCAGCCATATATCCTATATAATAAAACCCTCATATGCAAATCAACTGAATAGAGGAACGGGTCACTATGATGCACACTGACCACCAGGGGACAGACGCTCAATGGGGGAGCTGCCCCATAGGGGTTAGTGCACTCCCACAGGGGGAGCGCCACTCAGTCAGAAACTTCACTGTTGAGCCTCTCCTGCCTCCACTGCAGGTGGGCGGTAAGGAGCAAGGGGTCCCAGAATGTAAGAGCCCCAGACTGCGAGAGGGATGCCTGACTGCCCTGAGGGATCGGGCCTAAGCCAGCAGGAGGACATCCCCTGAGGGGTCCTGGACTGCGAGAGGGTGCAGGTGGGGCTGAGAGACCATCTCCCGCAGTGCACGAATGTCATGCGCTGGGCTTCTAGTATATGTGTATATATATTTTTACCAGGCCTCTAGTACACATGTACACACACACACACACACACACACACACACACACACGAAGCCCAGTGCTTCTTTAGGTTAATGTTTGACGCCATCCTTCTCCTGGACTTTAATTCACACGTAATTGAAAATGATAATCTTTTTGTTATATAATCTAGAGGATGAAACCAATTCCTTTCCCTATTTTCTAGTTAAATAAATGCATCTGTTTAATGACATTCGTGCACTGGGAAGGGGTTCCTCAACAGGGCCTGTGCCCTCTGGTGTCCCCTGAGGGGTCAGTGCTGCGGAGGAGGGAAAGGCTCCCACCACAGCGCTCACCAGTCTTGAGCCCGACTTGTGGCTGAGCAGAGCTCCCCTTGTAGGAGAGCGCTGACCGCCAGGGGGCAACTCCTGCATTGACCATCTGCTCCCTGGTAGTCAGTGCACATCATAGCAACCGGTCATCCCGCCGTTTGGTCGAATTGCATATTAGCCTTTTATTATATAGGATAAATTTTATTGATTTCAGAGAGGCAGGGAGAGGGAGAGAGAGATAGAAACATCAATGATGAGAATCATTTTTTTTTGATCGGCTGCCTCCTGGACTTGTGCCCTTGATGGTAATGAAACCTGGGACCCTTAAGTCCACAGGCTTAGGGTCTAGCCAATGAGGCAAACCAGCCAGGGCCCCACTCAATTCTTTATGGTAAAATAAAGAACATCTTGGGTTTTTCTGTGTGTGAGAAAGAAAATATGAACTGTCCCGGAATCATATTATATACCTGGAGCCCTAGATGGTTTGCAGGCTCCTCCGTGGCCCAGGCCTTGGTCAGGACTTGAGCAGGAGGCAACCAATCAATGTGTTTCTTTCACATCTATATTTCTCTCCGTCTTTCCCTCTCTCTTCCCCTCTCTAAAAACCAATGGAAAAATATCCTTGGGTGAGGATTTAAAAAAAAAAAAAAATTGAGTAAAGTTACCATTTATTTATTTAAAAGCCACTTTTTATATTAAGAAACTGAAAATGTTATTTTAGATGTCTAAATCAAATTAACTGGCTAGTTTTTCAGCATAACCCTATTTTAATATTAATGGTCTCACAATGTAGTAATAGCCAACTTACCTTTAATCAACAGGTGTTCTTCCATTTCTCCACCTAAAGCTTACTTTATAAACTTTTAATTATCACTTTTGTGGAAAACACCTTTGACCAAAGTGGTATTCATACCCGAGTGTAAGTTTTCCCAAATCCAACTAACCAAATCACTATCACAGCAAAAAGAAAAAATACCTTAAGAGTTAGAATCTGAGCCTGTCAGAGGTAAACCCATCCCACTAAATGGAAATTCTAAGACAAGTACAGAAAATGTGTGTGTTGAGAGAAGATGTCCAAGTGTTTTACATACTGCATATATTCAAGATTAGTTTAATTCAGCTAATGTATTACTTTGTCATTTAAGCTTCACATCACTACTTTAAAGAAATCTTTAGCACAAGAAATCATCATTAGCATTTTTAAAAAATATTGGCAAATGTAACTACCAGCTCAGAAAGGTTTGTGTTTTTAAGTGTTTAGACTATGCCCTATGGGTGCAGAAGAAAGAATACCAGGCTCTGAGTCAGCCGACCTAAGGCCCTGACCCTCCTTAGCACAGTTGGTTGGCTCTGCAAGTTACTCTGGGGCCCAAGTTCAATTTCTTCATCTGTAAAATTAAGATCAAATTATTTCACATTTAAATAACAAGTAGAGGTTTTCAGGATGCTCTGGTATGTTGCCTCTCCTTTGAGGTTCACAAGAAACCTGATGATAGCCCTAGCTGTTATGGCTCAGTGGATAGAGCATTGGCCAGAGACTGAAGGGTCCTGGGTTCGATTCCAGGGTGCATACCTTGGATGCAGGCTCTATCCGAGCTTGGCTGTTACCTGTGCGGGAGGCAACCAATCCAAGTCTCTCTCACCTGGATGATTTTCTTTCTCCCCCACCCTTCCACTTTCTCTAAAAATCAATGGGGGTGGGGCTGGAAGGGCATATCCTCAGGTGAGGATTAACAAAACAAAAACAAAACCTGAAGGGCGGGAAACGATCAAGGCTCCCTTTTATCAGTTTTCTGAGATCTGCTGGATCACTTGAGACACTCCCAAACCTGGAGACTACAAACACCATCCCACAGTTCTCCACATTCCTAGTTGCTCTGGAAGAATGCACTTAAAAGTGTGACAATCCCAATAGCTGAGTGATTAAATAAGCCATTTACAGAAGTAAAATGTTCTTTTATTTTAAAAGGCTAAAATTAAAAGAGAGCGAATAAAAGTTCATCTGCTCGTTCAAAGAATGTTTTGCACATATATAGTTGGTAAAAAATATGAGTATCCACCAAAATACTTAAGAGTGGTTAATAGTTGTTAATCAGTATCAGTGGCGCTAGCTTGGAGGGGCCGAAATGCCTGCCATTTTTATCTTTTTGCTTTTTAAACAAACACACACTAGTTTTTTATGCTCCACAATAAGTCACCGGCAGGTTAGAGGCACAGGCCTCGAAAAGCTCTAATGTATAACAACAGTGACCACCCCCTGGAACCTCCCCGGGATTTCAAGGACACAAGCAGAAAGCCCCGAGATCAGCAACTGCTCCAGCGCAATCTGACAGCCATGACCACCCCTTTCCAACACAGAAGGCAGCAGAGGCAGCTGGAGCAGGCGCTGCTGGTGGCTCAGGTTAAAAATTCCCTCTCGCACCGCCCAGGCCTCGAGGCGGAAGTGGGAGAAAAGGGCCGGGGGTGGGGGGAGGAAGGCGTTTGCAGGCAAAGTGTAGGGGGGTGAGGCGATGGGGCCTCGAAAACCTTGTGCAGGCCGCGGGCGATGGGCGACGGGCTCGGAGCCGGGCCGCTCTGCCCAGGGGCTTCCAGACGGGGCCCAAGGCGCCCTCCCGACCCAGGGAGCCCAAGCCCCTCTTACAGGGTTTCTTGGCATCCTTGATCTTCATGGCGACGGCCTGGGGGGCGAGGGGCAGCCTGGGGTTCGGTGCACCGAGGGTGGTGGTGGTGGTGGTGGTGGTGGCTGCGACTCCGGAGGTGGCTAGGCCCTGCGAGGAGGCCCAGCCAGTTCTTCCCCTTTAGCTGGCCGGGCGGGGCCTAGGGCGGGCGGGCCTAGGGCGGGACGGTGGCGCTCGAGGCGAGGCCGGCCCAGGGGGTGGCCCCCCAACCCCTGGGAGGGGCGGCCAGGACCGAGCGAGCTGGGCAAGGCCGCCGGTCTCGCCGTTCCTGGGGCCCACCGGGGGCCCACCCCCTGCAGCTGCTCCAAACAAAAGGCCCCGGTCCCCCAGCTGCCACCGCTGCACTGAGAAATAGCCCGCCCAGGCTGAGCGCCCACGTGACGCGAGCCCCCCCTTCTCCCGGCTCGAGGCCCCGGCTGCTGGGGATTGTAGTTCTCCGGGTCGCGAGGCCCTGCTCTTTGGCTGCAGAGGTGCGGGTGGACTACAACGCCCAGGATGCATTGCGGCCGCCCCTTCGAGGCCCCTCCCATTCGGGAGATCGCCTTAGAGTGGGCCCAGCGAGAAGGGGGCGGGGCCTTAGTCACGCCAGCGAAGAGGCGGCCAATGGTGACTGAGGTGGGCGGGCTGCGAAGTCTGGGCCTTGGGCCTCCGCCCGCTGAGGAAAGAGCCGAAGCGGGAAGAGAACGCTGCAGGTAGCTGACCTAGAAGTTGCTGACTTTCTCTGGAGGCAGAAAAGCTGGCCCTTGTGCCATGGAAGGCACAAAATCCAGGGCTCTAAGGCCACTCTTAAGACAGACCGTTAAACACATTTACAAAGGAAGCCCCCGGCTTAATAGAGACACCTCAAATGCTGGAGTTGGAGTAATGGTGTTGATAGAAGGGCAATAGTAGTAATAGGTGACATTTGTTGGATGCTTACCATGTCCAAGGCACTCTGCTAAGCACTTCTGGCAAATTATTTGATTTTAAAAAAAACAAAACAACTTTGTGTACTACAAAGTTATTTAACAATTTTGTGTACTATAAATCATTATTCTTTGTTATGGTGTCTATCCCACATTTTGAAAATGGGGCAGGATGTGAGAAGTTAAATCACGTGGGGAGCACATGCCCTTTGTCACCATTCCACGGTCCCCGCAGAGGTCCTGCAGCCCAGCTCCTTGCTTCCTGAGAAGAAAATTAGATGCTCCAGTTCTTATGGTAGAGCCAGGGCACCCCTTTCCCTCTGCCTCCTAGATTCTGAGCCCTCCAGCTGGAAGGGGAACGGACAGCATTGGGAATTTTCTTCTGGCTTTCCCTCCACCTCTGTCCCCCAGGTGACTGACCAGGAATTCAGCGACTTTGGCAACCAATGGTTTGAGAATTGGCAGTGGAGGACTGAGCATTAGTGCCCCTTCCTTAAACAGGATAAAAGGGTTATGAATAAGGCCAGGAAGGGACACACATTACCGCCTAGGGAGCACATTCTAAGCGCTGGCACTTGGCAAGGTACTTCTTAAATTTTAGATTTAATCCTCACCACCACCCTTTGAAATACAATTATTAAAAACTCAGATGAGTTCACATTTTGGCCCTACAAATTGGTAACATATTTAGGCAAGTAATTTCATCTCTCTGAGATGGGGGTTAGATGAAGAAAAGCATATGAAGTGCTTAATGCATTGCCTGGCATATTTTGTCACCATGGTATGGATAAGTAAGTGCCATCTAGGTTTATTGTACTAGAGGCCCGATGCACGAAGATTTGTGCAAGAATGGGCCTTCCTTCCCCTGGCTGCCTACACCATCTTTGCTCTCGCCCAGAGCCACCTTTCTGCCTTCCCACGTTGCCCAGAGGCCCAGAGCGGCTGGGGCAGTATGGAATGCCTGCATTGTTGCCATAGTTGTTATAGAAAACTGGAGAAGAACCAAGCAATACTTAGAGAGATGGAGCTACATTTATTATGCATGGGTCCAGAGGGAAATGTCTCTCAAATTCTGGGCCCCAACATAGAGGAATTTTTCCCATTTATATGTTTTTACCTTCTTTGTCTCCCAAATATGGGATGTTTCCAGCTCCCTTTGAAAGTTCTTAAAGAGCCCCTATGTGCTGGGGCCTTGAGACCTCAACCAATCAGCCAGCACTGATAATTTCATCTGGGGAAGGTTTAATGGCGTCTCTGAAGTGGGAGAAGTCTTATTTTCCTTATCATTTAAGCAAGCAAACAAGCATTTACAGAAGCCAAATAGTAGGGTTAAAATTTCAAACAGCAGTTTTTAAATAAGATGGATGCTTCATGGTGATGACTCAAGTGTCCTGCCCCCAGCCACTGGGCACCTGTGTATGCAAATTAACCTGCCAGCTTTGTTGGGTTAATTTGCATACTCACTCCTGATTGGCTGGTGGGTGTCATGAAGGTATGGCCAATTTGCATCTTTCTCTTTTATTAGTGTAGATTGTTGTTGTTAACCTTAAGATAAGAAAGAAAGCTTAAGTATTTACCCTATTCAGGTAAATATTTAGGATTATGCCCTAGGTCTGATTGGTGCTTTGTGCTTCCTTACCTTTTGTTGTTTGGTCCCAGGTTCCACATATGTTCTTTGGAAATACATTTATTTATTTATTTTTATTTAGATTTTTTAAATAGAATTATCATCCAGACCCCCCAGATAATGTGACCTGGTAATGTAGAGCTCTGAGTAGTAGACTTAACCTTGTTTACCCTCTTGTCACTTCTTCCCACACAGAACCCTACATGTTCTCAAATGGTCTTGTTCTCCTGCAATTTTATTGGGTGAGAGTTATGATTTCTGATTTGACATGGTTTCAAAGAATGTTCAGTATTCTATACGATCCACCCACTGATTCTGTAAGTCTTGTGTGCACACCCTGTTCTCTATCAACATATATCTATATATCTTTTGGTTGTTTTTTGCTTCTTTAAAAAAAAAAAAAATATATATATATATATATATATATATATATATATATATATATATATATATAGTGATTTTAGAGAGGAAGGGAGAGGGAGGTAGAAACATCAAGTACAGGAATCAGTGATTGGTTACCTCCTGAATGCCCCCCACTGGGGGGCATGTGCCCTGACCAAGGATTGAACTGTGACTTCCTGGTTCATAGGTTGATGCTCAACCACTGAGCTATGCCATCTGGGTAATTCCTGCCTCTTTTTAATAGCATTAGCTATCAAATAGGAAGTGATACTGTACCTTATGTTAGGCTGGTTATGGTCCAAGGGGAAGGCGAGCTAGAAATAAGAAGCCATCGGCATTTGGGTGAGTTTTGGAAATACAGTCTTGTTAGTTTCTGTGGCCACACATAAACGACTTAGCTAACTGTAGCTTAAAAGTTAGGTTTACACCTGTGGTGTTATATGCCAGAAAAACAGTGAATTTCTCATAGTGAGAATTCTAATCTTAGATCAGCCATGGGATTTCTGTGTGACCTTGGGAAAGTTCCTTTCTCTTCTCTGGGCTTCAATTACCCATCTGTACAATGACATGAGTGCCTGAGATTTCACCCATCTCTGCTTTTTGAGGTTCTCTTTTTCAGGAGCAATATGAGATGTGGTCAATTATGTTTTCCTTTAAATTTTCCCCAGTATTATTAAAACAGACAGGTCACCCTTCTTTGGTTTCTGGCCAGAATCTTTCTTCCACAGCCCCTGTTGACTGTCAGCCCCCGCCTCTCCTCCTGCTCTGTCTGGTTGACTACATTTTCTCTCTTATGTTCTCAAACCCTTCCTGGCAGAGTGAGTGTGGGAACTGTGAAGAATATCTTGTCTCAATATTTGTCTACCAAACACAGTAAATCCATACCACTTGCAAAGTAATAGAGTGCCACACCCTGCAGAGCTAGGGTTCAGGATCTTAAGGAGGGGCCATTGTACAAATGAAAACACTAGACAAGAAATGTGAATTTAGAAGGTGTGGGGGGCCAGGTGGAGACCTCTCTCTTGGAGTGGCACACTGAAACTTGGCCTTATCTGCTTTTTATTCAGTTTTAGATACAGTAAAGCAGGGCAAACAGGTAGAATACAGACTGTTTCTAAGGTCAGTAAAGTTGAGTAGAGATCAGTAAGGTCCAGTAAACATTTACTTTGACACTATTAGGTCAGGAAAATGCTTCGAGCCAACCGCTATCTCAAAACAAACAATGGTGCTTGGCGTTAGCCCTGCTAATACTCAAGGTCCACTGGCCTGCGTTCCTTGGTGCACTCTCAAAATAGTATTGGCAGTGGGTGGCTTCCTGCAATAGAGGATTCCTGACACAATCTCGTTTTGTTTTTATTGAGTAGATATCTATGGAGAAAGGTGGTACATTGGACCTAATGATGACTATGAGGTCTCCTGGCATGAATTAAACACACACACACACACACACACACACACACACACACACACAGCTTCAAAGCCAGACAAAGCTTGTAAAAGTGGATTCTATGTTTAGATGGTCAAGAATATGCTGTAATCAGTCCTTGGATCCACACACTCTGACAAGCATCCCACTGTGGGAAAGTATCATTTGTATGCGTATCATTTGGATCATTGTTGTATCATCATCATCATCATCACCACTACCCCCATCACCACCATCATGATAGTAGAGCACAGTTTCATTCACCAAATATTAATTGAGCTTTAACTATGTGCTAGGCATGCTGGGGAGGAAGAGAGGTGAAAAAGAGAGGAACAGAAATCAAGTTACCCAATCGGTGAACAAGAAGAGTGTGATGGCTGATGGAAAGAAATAATCAGGGTGATGTGCTAATGGGGACCGGGAGTTGTGGGAGAGGAGGAGGCTCTGTTTTAGTTTGGATGGTCAGAGAAGGCGTCTCTGAGGAGGTGGCATAGGAGCTGAGATCCATGCATGTTGCTGGGGAAGGCTGAGGAGTGACTGGTACTGGAGGTAGGTTTGGTTTGAGGAACAAAAGCCAAGTATGGGAAAGAGGGAGTAAGGAGTGAAGTGATTGGAGGTGAGGTTCGAGAGG